GATTAATTTCGTTTCTTTTTCTTTTTTTCCTTTCTTTGACGCTTGATAATTCCATGTCAACAAGTTTAACCCACTCATCGCAAGTACCTATTATTTGATAGTCAATAATCCTATTCCATTCTTTAGTAACTACATTCGTAGCATTCACCATTATCATGTAGCCATTACAATCATGAACTGCTTCAGTGAATATTTTTATAAGATATTTCACTTCAGGAATTCTTAAAGAAGTTCTCATTATTATCAAACAATCGGCTTTATTTTTATCATATGCTGCAATTTCTCCAATTTTTAATTCTTTGGGATGTTTGTCACCATAAAGGATTACTGCCGGTTTTAGTTGTCCAATAGTGTGTTTTCATTTGTTTTGTAAATTTCTTTCATATTCTATTTATTAAAGTCGTTAATAATCTTAAACCTTGGTTTTGTTATTTTAATTCAATAATAATGATGTTTTGTATTTACCTCTTTCTTTGCATTCAGGGCAATTTGAAATTTCAACTTTCGTGAAAATATCACAATATTCTTGTGTAAAAGCTAGACATTTGTATAAACGTTACATTGTAAATTTGCCAATGTTCCATGCAATTGAACTACTTGTGCTTGGCAATGTTTAAAATTTTCAAAATTCCAAAATTCTAATCCTGCCTTTTTTTCGAGATTATCTATATTTTGTGTATATACTCTTTTTAATTTTTTTATGTCTGCCAATTTTTTTATAAACAAATGAGTGGCTGTAGGTTCAGCTTTTAAAACTAATTTGTTTAATTCACCCATGAAATTATAAAATGCTTCAACAGCTTCGTCAGTTATATATAAATTAGAATCAAATAAGTCTCTGACCAAACTAAAGGTACCCTGATATTTTTGTTTTATCATTTCAAAAAGATCATTTGAACTTCTAAAATCCTATTGGTAATATAAAAATATAATTTTTCAACTAATGAAAAATGTTGTTAAAATCAATGTGAGATTACTTACAGGTATCCCTCTGCTACAAGAAATACCAGCCCTAGCAATAATAATGAGATTTTTAGAAAGTGCAACGTTTTGAGCTACATTTAAAAGTAATAGATTATTTTTAAAATCAAGATTGAGTTGAACTACATTCAAGACTTGTGGTTTATTTTTTAAGCCTAAGTCGTGTTTGAGTGCCATTAGTTTTTTGTAGAGTCTGAAATCCATCTTTTTATATTTTTTACTAAGAATTCTTTTGATTTTTTTTTTATGTATATTTGGTCTTTTTGTCCCAATGATTAATACAGTGGTTAGCTATTTGTAGTTCGTTTTTTAATCTACGGAGATAACTTTGGAATAAGAAAATTCGATTTATAAATCCTTTGTAAGAATGGATTAGTTTGGTTTTAGCATCAAATAGTAATTGAATATATACTGATCTGCATTATCATTCTCATATTATTATATATTCGTAAGTTAAATTCTTGCAAAAAATAATATTTATTAATAGAAATTTTCTTCTGTAGAATTCTTGTTTCAGATTACGTGAAAAGTTATTAATTTAAAAATATATAAATGGTTAACTTCTGTACTATAATTAGAAATCTTACCCAAACAGCATGCGTAAAGGTTTGCTAACAGAATCTTTTTGACAAAAGAATTTTCTTTTAACAAATTGTCAATCATCTTTGCCAATCAAAATCAAACTTAATTTTGATTGGCTAATGACTACCAATCAAAATTGTCAGACTATTTAACACCCTTAATTACAAACCAAGCCTATTACATTAAATAAAATTCAGTCAAACGACTATAAACCATTTTAACCTCAGAAATATTCTTGTTTAGAATTCTAAATTAATCTAATACTCAGAAAAGCAAAAATTTTTGTTCAGACTTGTTCTTGTTTCAGATTACGTGAAAAGTTGAAATCTATATATAGAAGTTATTAAAGATTATGTAAGCAAATCATTATGCGTACAGTTTCGCGCAAGAATTCCAATTATTAGTACAGAAATTAACTATTCGGACAAAAGACTTTTTGTAGTAAGATTCTTGGAATCTATTTTTTTTCACAAAGATTTTCTTTTAACCGTCATTTGATATTACTAAGGATCATTGCTGTTAATTAAAACTTTAAAAATGCGATACTACGCGAATAGATTATGTTACAAGAAATCTTTAATGGATAATAACATGCTTTGAATAGTATAACATAGTAACGGGCCTGCTTTTTATTAAATTATCTCCTTATCTCTTTATTTGACTTTTTGAAATTGTGAGCGGCCCTTTCTTCGCATATAATTACATATAGATCAAATAAAATGTTCAACATAAATTTCATTTTGTGCTTTGTAAAAAGGTAAACAAATAACCATGATATTCTTATTTAAACAAGAAAATCAATAACGAACAAAGGCTTTTGTAATAGCATGTAATATTTTATACGTGTTATACATTATATTTATATGGTAAAACATATCAAACGTGGAGTATCTTTTCAATATTTGAAAAATGGTAATCACGATCGAAATTAATCGTTTTCTTATTTGAACAGGTCCATTTATGAAAAAAATGTTATAAAGAGTAACATCTAGTTTTCAAAAATTACAGAAAAATAACAGAATATCAATTATAAGTTTCTTAGCTTTATTGCTAAGAATTGCTTATACCATTTTTTCTTATCTTATTTCTCGTTTGCTCCTGGCTTTAATTTTTTTGACTTCTTTAATTATTGGTACTTTGATTTTTGCATCTTCGATTTTAATAATGAATATGATTCCGATTCCACCTCTCTTGTTGTACCCTGGTCTGGTTGTCGGGTTTTCCCTATTATTTACAAGTACTAACTACAAATCTGAATCCATTTACTCAGATAAAGATCGATTATTCACAAATAAAGGTTATACACATTTATCGGAATATCTGAACAATCAAACTTACTATCCTGCATTATATGATATTTTATCTTAATCTCTCAATTTTCCTTCTCCAAATGAGAATTATATTTTGCCTAATTTAATTTTCACATTATATGAATGAAGAAACAATACTATCTATATCTACAAATTTGAATACATTTTCTTAGATAAAGATCGATTATTCACAAATGAAGATTATACGCATTTATCAGAATATCTGAACAATCAAACTTACTATCATGCATTATCTCAATCTCTCAAT